GGGGGCGATGATACTTTCATGTGTCGTGTTTCATTGGATTGGTATGCTATTCTCTGGGTTCAATGATTTGCTCAACAGAAACGTATAAAACGTAACCATTGCGTAGTAAGTTTTCTCATACAATCGTATATTAAGTAACATTGCACCCTATGTTGTAAAACGCAAACCATACCTACGTATACTTACCGCAAGATTGAAATCTTCCATTTCGGTTCGATTAAAGTTCTAAAGCTCTGTTATTTTCCCACAGGAAAGTCCGTTTAAGAACAAACGCTTTAAAACCTGTAGTGTCGTGGGGAACGGCGGCATACTTAAAGGAAGCGGCTGTGGGGAAGAAATAGACGCGGCTGAGTTTGTGTTTAGGTAAGGACCTTTGACTTCGTGGATTTGTTTGAAATATCATAACATAACGGTAGTTAAAGACCTTAAAGCACACCACAAAAACTATAGCTAACTAGAAAGGCAGACATTTGCTTGAAAGCAAATACAGTATTTTAGTCCATCTTTCTCCTCGTTCCAACATGGACGGTTCCATATCAACCTTTTCCACGTAGTGCTCTTTAATATCAAGTGTTTCAATAACCCCATGTAGTCCCCAATACCCATACAGTACTTTTCAGTAAAATATTCTCGAACCCTCCATACAGTGAGTGCTTTTCAGTAAAATGTTCTTGAAAGCCCCATACAGTGCTATTCAGTAACACGTATTCGCAAAACCCCCATGTAGTGTTTTTCAATGTATGGACTAAAATAATTACTTCAAGGAGGATTGTGTACTAAGGACTAATCATTCCCCCCTCAAATTCACATAAATGCCATACGTGTTAGCTAGTGAACCTTGTACACTTACCAGTGAACCTTATACACCGAATGGCAGTAACAAATTTTAGTTCACCCCAAATCAGACAGATGTCTCCTCTTCATTTTACTCGTATAATATTACAAAAATGTTACTGTTATGCCCTTTTCGCGCACTAACATTCGTCCTCTGGAATACATTGATTCCATTGTAAGGCTTTGTTCCTAAATTCGCCATGCCCCACCACCACATATTATAGAGAACATCCCTGACCGTTTTTGTTGCTAAATGTAGGTGTAACACGGCTCCAATGGACGATATATACTGGAAGGACATTGGAAATAGAACCCATCTTGTTACTATGAATCCCGGTATGGTCTACTACAGGTACGCTTTATGTCTGGTCATGTGTTTCCAACTATTCTAACAAGAAAAATGAGTAAAATGGCAATGATGAAATGGCATGTAGTGCATATATTTGTACATGTACATACATTTTATATAACTAAGGTTATTTATACCGTCTTTAATGTATTTGTTTGCTTGATTGTGGCAAACTCATATTATCAATTTCAAATGCTAATTGCCTGTTCTTTTATTCCACCTAGGTACAATAATTTTGGAAAATCTAAACAGCTAAATAGGATCATATTAGAACATAGATCGTCTAAGGCTTTCAAAGGGGCGAGAGACAAATTCCTTCGGGACCTCTCTGCCTACGGGGACAGCTACCTGTTCATAGAAGCCTTCCTGTATGAGCTGAGCTCAAGGCGGGCCTTCTTAGCACAAAAAGTTCTATGGGAAAGTCACGCCAAGAACACGGTCATCTATCCCCATCCTGACTTCGTCAGATCGACGCATTCCTACTGGCAAACATGTGGTGTGAAGGCTCCAAGGGCGTCTACTGGTACGTAGGTATAAAATACCTTCGTCGAATCTTTATCTATATGCTATATGGGCATACATGCATTTATCCAATGGCATATATCATTTGTTTGATGCAATGACACGGTGCACTTTATTCTG